TATGTAAATGTATACAGCATACGCGCTTGTATGTGTGTAAATCCGTAAGTTAATTGAGTCGATATACATGCATACATGCATACATACATACATGCATAGATACATACAGTGCGTACATTACATTAGATCACATTACATTACATTCTTTTTAAACAATTGATGTTTTTTATTATGATTATTATTACTATTACTATTGCATTGCGTTTCATTACACACATATTGACATATTGGGGTCCCTCCCGGCCGAGGCCTCGCTGGGACCACTGCGCTGCGAGCCAGGGCCGAAGAAGGGACCCCGACCCGAGCTCCTCGCGTGAGAGGAAGTGGGTAACAATAAGATAATATGGGAGTTTGCGAAAATAGCGGTACGTTATTATTGGGGGTTCTTATAAGAAGGATCCTACAAGTGGGTAACAGTAAGATATGGCTGGTTGTCAAAATTATGGTGCCTTTTTGGGTACCCTAAATAATAGGTGCCGAGTTATAATAAGATATGGGAATTTCCGGAAATTGGGGATCCTCATATAATATCCTAAATAGTAGGAACAGATCCTTACCCCAAATGGGAGTTTCCGAAAATAGGGGTTCCTTATTTTGGGGGTCCGTATAAGAAGGATCCTACCATTCAGGGTATTATATTAGGGGCCTCTATTTTCGGAAACTCCCATACAAGAAACCGACTGGGGCGTCTTGACATGATCAGTATAAAATTTGGCTACTTTTTTATATTTATTCTCCGTAGGGAATGGTTTTCAACGGCCGCCGTAGCACGGTAGCTGTCCAGTTGTACTGCTGTCGGGACCTTATTAGGGCCCCTCTCCCCAAGCAGAGTCGAGTCTTGCAAAACCCTTCCTTGCGTGAAGACGGAAGCCGAAATATCTCCTTTCTGTGCAAACGTGAGTCTGCCATGAACCGGCTTTCATGTTTCACTTAGCCCTCAGGAATGCAAGGTCGTACAACCCGTTATAAAGCTTTACTCTGAGATTTTGTGCTCGACATTTGTGTTATTTGTCTTGCAGGGTGAACATCATCTGGTGGACAACCTCCATGCGTGGTGTGGTTGACATTGTCGGTTTCGAAAGCAACCTCCGCGATTCAATCCTGAAGCCGCAAATCCAAAGGCCCAATATCCAAATCCAACTCTCTCTGCACTTGGGTGGTTGTCAAAATTATGGTCCACTTTTGGATCCCTAATATAGTACGGCACCTAATATTCAGGGTACCCAAACACGGACCATAGTTTTGACAACTACCCAATTGCAGATGTCCGGAACTCTCTCAGGGTCCTCGGCGTGGTTCGATGCGACAGGCCTCGGCTACGAAGTGGTTCGGTTGGGACGATGGGCGGGATTTAGGACGGGGCTTTGGGGTGAATTTTGTAATATCTGAGTATGTATTCTGCTCAGTTCACAGGGCTTGGTGGTGCTTGGTTGAGTCCTTGAACCGAATGCAGCGTCTGCATTACCGGCTCAAAACTGCATGAATGTAAGAAGGAAGTCGTAAGTGAATTTCAGAAATTCACAAGTCTTTTCTAAACTGTGTACATTGCTGCTAGGGTACTTATCCGATAGGGTGTGCCTACTGTGAGACACTCGGTATGGCCAAATATGAATATTTATGCTGAAACGAAGGTGCGAAGGAGGCAGCCTACGGATCGCTTGAGAGGCATTGTTCCATACCGCCAAAGCTTTCAGAAGTTGATGGTAGTTCAACGGCAACTAGCAATGTAGAGGCCGACCTTGTTCAAATATGGATTTGGGGTCCATGCGAGGCACATGGCCTTGAGCCGTGGAAAAGCAGTCTGGCTGATCTCTCAGGCCCGATACACAGTAAGATGAAGCAGGGCGTCTGAACCTAAAGCTAAAAACCCACACTTCCTGTTTTGCAGCTGGGAGTGAGACTCAACGAATTGTTAACCAGAAGAAGACCGTCTACACTTCAAGACGCTAGTTCCTAATTCCTAAACATCAACACACTGATTCCAAACTCTAAAGCCCAAACCCGAAAAGCCCAAACAACAGAACTTTCATCCCTAAATCCCTAACCCGGACCAAACATAAAACTTCGGTTCGCGCCTGCAGGGGCAGGGACAGATGCAGCGATCATCGTCGCTGCCGGCATCGGTTCTGGTGCAGGGCCTAAGATGAAGCAGCGTTTCCCTTACAGGTCCTCACAATACGAATCCTAGATTCTTAAGGGCCTATACGATATATCGCCCAGCTCAGCTTTTCGAAAAGGGTGGTCGGGCCTCCTGCTTCGCAAAGACGAGCCCGCAGGGCGGGCATAGACAAGTCCGAAGAGAGAAAACCCGGCTCGAGAACGCGGACATCCGCCGGTAATACGGTGGCCTTAATTAAAATACATATTTATTCGTAAAAAGTTAAAAATAAAAATAATTAGAATAGGTTCTTGGGTGATGCTATACTCTAACTCTAATAGGCTCCTCGCAATAAGCGTGATATTCTTGAACTCCGCCACAGGTGCCTAATATTTGACAACGGTCCACTGTTTGCAGCAGTTCCAACATTGACCGACGACTCACGGAGGAGTTGGCGTCTTGGAGTCTGGGGTCAACGGATCCACGTCCTGACGGGACCACTGCCTGAACGCTGATGACGCCATCTGACCAAAGACATCGACGCGACCAAGCTCCAAACCTTTAGTTGCCCTGGATGACACAAGACCCGTAAGGCAAACCAAGGGTCCAAATGGAGGACCTTCGACAGAGAATGGGTGCATGGGGCTGAGCTGCGATTCCTTCTTCGGATACTTCCTACTTTCAACGCTGCAAGCCCTAAAACGTAAGTGAATACAAATTTTGATTGTCTTATATCTTCTGACACTTCTACATCATACCAGCCGAAATACCTGAACACCGAGCACCTGAACCGTCACAGCCAAACACACAAAAACGAACGCTCAGGACCCTGGTGCCCGGAGCTCTGCTCCAAGGCGTAGTGGACTTGGTATGATATCCCCGACACCCTGAACCCTATATGCATCCCCGATGTAGGGCCGAAATATCCTAAACCCTAATCCCTAAACCCCAAACCCTAAATCCCAAACCCTACTATAAGGATTACAGTCAGCTCTTTCTGGCTTCCGCGGGGCTCGGTTTGGGCGCGGGCTGAGTCTCCTGTCGGCGGCTCGCGCTGAGGTCGAGAATCCCGGAACCCTAAAGAGCCTTCGACTGTATATTTAGCTACCCTAAACCCTAAACCTTTTTTTTTGAGCACGGTTTAGGGTTTAGGGTAGCTAAATATCCTAAACCCTAAACCCTAAATCCTAAACCTCAAAGAGTAGGTACCCTGAGAGGGTCTATTGCAATTCAGGCTGCTACGTTACAGCCTCGGCGGCAAGGACACCAAAGCCAACCTAGGCAACACTGCTATTAAACTTGGTACCTGGTAGAAGGGCTTTAGGGGTTTGGGGGTGTTTTGGGGTGTAGGGGAACTCTTAGCCTGTCTTGTGGTTGGCCTTTTTTATGTATCCTTCATGCCACGTTTAGGGTCTGGTGATTTGACGGTCTTAAGTCTTAAGGTCCTTTTAAAGGACAGAAGAGAAATGCGAAAAACAAAAACCTTGTAGGGTTTAGGAGGGCATAGGGCTTTGCTAAACGGATTCATGAACGACAAACCATGAAAGCCCTGCCCTGTTCCCGGGGTCTTTCAGACGACATGTGATCCCCTCTGACACAAAAATTGAGGCCGCTGTATTGAACTCCGGAACCATAAGTAGTAGTGCATAGGCATAGAAACAGTTGGAACAAAAGAGCTGAATAGTATCTGTAATCTCCGTGGGCCTACAATCACCAACATCTTCTCAGATTCCCCATAAGATCAAGGACATTCCCACACAAAGTCGAAAAACATGTCTGCACGAGACCCTGATGCCTCAACCTAAAACACCCTCAAACAAACCCCCCCAGAGCCCGTAGGCCCCTTGATAGAGCCCGGCAAGAACTCAGACGGTCCTGTCCCCAGAGCTTTGGCACCTGAGGCGGGCGTCTGAAGTTGCCACGCTCGCTAGGTGGCGTGTCCTGGGCATGACGGTCTCACGGGTTTGGTTGCAGGGTCTACGAGCTTTGGGCTTAGAGGCTTTCAAGGGCTTTGCGGAGTTGGGGTTTGAGGCTTACGGCTCGAGAGATGTTGCTGGCTGTATGCTTGTTTCCGTTGAAGTAGACATAGTTGTGGCCGTGGGGCATCTGGTGGACACCGAGTTAACAAGGCAAGCCCTTCATATGATTGGAGGTATCCTGCCCTATTTGCACTTCACTTGTCTGAGTTGTCCTTCAAGCCCTTTGAAAATTATTTGCTATTATGGTTCTCTACAAAATAGCAGGGGAATTCAAAGATCCCAAAGGACAACCCAGTTGTTAGAAACAATTGCTAGCCAAAGTGGCCGGTGCTTTCAGCAGGCGGCAGAGCTCCGAGATGATGTTCCTGGGCTGGAGCCCGCGAGCGAATGGCTTTGGTTTGGGGACTATGGGCGACACCGAAGAGACTAGATTATTAGCGCAGAGCAAAACCGTAAGATCCTACGAACACTCACAAACCCCGCCGATTAGACGGTCAAAGAATCCCGAAGCCAGAGGACGTACTTCGCAAATTCGCCGTCACTGAAAGCCAAAACCTTTGCAGCGTCATAACTTGAAACCCTTAACCCCTAGCGCCCAAAATCACAAGACTAAAGTGCACCGTCCTCTTGCCTTCAACCTGCCTACGAACCGGTACATCGCTCGAATATAGAAGCCCTAAGGAAGTTTCAAAATTTCCAGTCGTGAATTTGTCCCCTTACATCTACTTGCTTAGCGGGACAACACAAACCCTGAACCTTTAAAGGAACCCTTATCCCCAAACCCTTTTAAAGGAACCCTTAACCCCAAACCCTTAAAGAAACCCTTAATTAACCCCAAACCCTTGAAGGAACCCTTAACCCCAAACCCTTAAAAGGAACCCACAACCCCAAACCCCTAAAATAATCCTATTACAGCCCCCCCTTCAGTCGCCGAGGCGCGGGTCCACCAGAGAGGGCATCGCGGCCGAGGGCTCCGTCGGCCGGTCGTAGCGCGCCGAGTCGGAGCGCGAGGAGACGACGGAGTCGGAATACTGTGCTTCCTGAAAGGGGATTCTCAAGGGCATATATAAGGTATAAGGGTAGTATCATGCATAGGGTACTGTACCAGACGGTTTTTATAAGACGTTCTGCGTGCTATAACTGGCGAGTGTATATAGACTAGGTGTACAGAAATGGACACATGTCTTTATACTTAGGTTTATCTATGCTTCTTGCCTACTTAGACCAGAAGGGTACACGACTAGATACATACACATGCACCCACATGTAGCAAACGTGTAGATGTACATATGTATTTTTGCATATGATCATCCATACAGTCTACATATGTTTCCGTGCAAATCTTTGTACTTGTTCCCTGGGGTGGCTTATGTTGTGGGGTTCTGAACTTCTCTTTGCTTCAGTGACTTGAGTGCCTTTTTGATTTAGGATTTGGTTCTTGTGTTTCGGGATTTGCGCCTGGGCCTCCTTCTGTAGAAGGTTTCAGGACGCACCCTGGAATTCCTAACAGCGGACGCATACACGCATAGATGAGAAACAACACATCTCTTTGAAACTGCACGATAGAAGTATTGACACCAAACAGCTACATCCTTAAGTAGTTGTTGGTCTTCATTTGTGCAAGTACAGTCTAGGTTGCTCTCGCATGAAACCATTCAGAACATCGGAGTGCTTTTCCTCGCAAGAGCAGGAGTGTGTGAGCAATCTCTCAAATAGCCAGGCCTCCGTGACTCAACGAGCTGAAGCTTTCACAACTCCCGCACACGAAGTGGGGCACCCTGAGCCCCGCACAGACCGTGATGCAGGTGCGCCCCAGGCCGAGATTTTCTGTGTGGAGCGGTCGTGGGGGAAGGAGCCCTGAACGTCGGAAGCTGCTTTCTGAAGTTGAGTGGGCTGTTCCTGTCGAAAATTATCAGGTTTATAGGGTGTAGGGATCCCAGCCGGTTGAGACCATGATGCTTTCTCGAACATGGACGCTGCCAGGTTCCGAAGGGTCGAGAAGTCGTGTAGACAAGATGAGTCAGAGAACGGATTCAGCTTTCGGGCTTCGGGTCGCTCTTTGCAGGAGTTGCAGGGCCAAGCTGATCTTTATGCCTGAGAAAGTCTTCGTCGTTTCTTTGTACTAGGTCCGAGGTGATGTCGCCAAAAGGCGTCATGACCACATTACTGTACTGAGACGTCAGCCCCCTCACCTGATGGATCAGGCTTCGTAGTCGAAGTTGGCTGTCCAGCTTGAAAGTTGGTGACTAAGTGTTCTTTACACCCTCAGCTACTCTGCTCCCCACTACTCTTCATGGTTGAATGTAAGCACGAATAAGGGCTCCCGCAAGATGCAGATTCAAATGTCGCAAGTAAGCACGAACAAGCTGAATCCGGAGTTTTCTCACACAAACCCACTCGTCTGAAGAAACTGATGTAGGAAGCAAGGCCGGACAGCAAACTTGAGTGCCATTGCCCACTGCAGAGAAGGTAACTGCTGACCCGAATGCCCGGCAGCCTCCCAGATACTACTTTACTGACCCTAAAGCCCAAAACCCCGAACTCTGAAGCCAAAGCCCTACGAGTCCTACAAGCCTAGCCTAGCTTTTTTTTTCAACCAAAAAGCCTCAAACTCTAATTCCCAAATCCGTAACTCCTGCAACTTCCATGAACCCGCTTTTAGCGCCTCTGCCTGGGGAATGCGCATGGTACGCCCGGGGTCCTGTGCAGAGGGGCTCTTTATTTGGGGTTCAAGGCTTTTTGTTATGGGTTTAGGTCTAGGCGCGACTTTCAGGGTTTCACGGTTTCGGTGCCTTATTGGGTGTTAACGCAAATGTCGTGAATACCGTAAGCGCAGTGAGGTTCTAGGTAACTACTTCTTCGAGGGTTTACGGTCGACCCCCCTACCACCCGGCCACGACAAACCACGCAATACGGAGGAAACAGGAGGTTGGGAAGCAGCGGCAGCAAGGACAGTCAGAGCTTTGCATCACCACGTCATGGCTTTTGCTGTGCGAAATGCTTGACCCCGACCTTGTGGTGCAAAGCTCGCACCTGCCGTCGGTGCCATATCTGCGGCGAGTCTACAGACAGATATCAAGCTCACACCATCACACACATGGGCTTCTACCTGGATGGTAACAAGCTATGAAGACCTTACGGTGATCTGCAGAGCCATCCAGTTTGCTTAATGCTCGTCGATCCTAGCTTCAAGCTAGGAGGTGACAGGATCTGACCTGAACCGCAAACCTAACACTCTAAAACCCCAAGAATTTCCGAACACCCTGAACCTATAGAGCCCTAGAAAATATCACAACACTTTTTTACGAACATGTGCCAGGGTTGTACTAAGATCCCTGTCTGGTCCTGATAGGTTTGGTCTCTCAGGCGCTAGAGTTTCATCCCACTTGTGTTGTAGTGATACTTTCATATACCATAAATAATGTATTCCTTGCTGTACGTATCTGAAAGCTACTCTAAATATAGCCCCTATATGGGAGTTTCCGAAATTAGGGGACCTCAATATAGTACCCTAAATAGTAGGATCCTTATTATAAGGACCCCAAAATAAGGTACCCCTCAAAATCGGAAACTCCCATATTGCCACCCGCAATCCAGAGGCCTCGTAGCTGTACTCAGCCATCGAGCCCTGAGGCTTCGAGGATTCGCGCTGCTAGCAACAGAAGTCAAGTTTTATGGTGGGTGTAAGGCTAGGGGTTTGGCATGTAGGGGTCTAAGCCTTATGTCGCATATACATATATATATATATATATATATATATAAATAAGCACATGTGTACATTAATAGTAACATGTATTTAAAATGTGTGTGTAGATATATATATATATATATGAGTACTTCTGTCTTGTGTGTGTGCGCATTTCTTGTGGCTGACTTTTTTATGGGGTGGGCTTCAGGGCTTAAGGGTGGGTGTGTAGGAGTTGAGGGTTTAGTTTGATAGGGGGTTAGCAAGGCATCCCCAAACGCCGAATCCTAGACTGCAGTATGGTATGCAGTCGCACTTCCCTGTAACCTACGGCCACCCAGTAAACCCAAAACACTAAGGTCTCAGCCCAACACACCAAGCCCTGATTGTTTTAAGATGTTTTAAATAGCTGCTAAACTCGAGCTCAACACGATCCCCTACTGCAATCTTCGACTTTCTGTCCAGCGTTGTATATCATCTCAACATCTCTTTGCTCGAAGGCTTGCCGAACTGAAAGGCCAAAGGCCAAGCCGATGTCCGATGAACATTGAACCTTCTCGCAACCCATAGCCGAAAGTTACATACATGCCCTGGGAAAACCTCTGTCTTCTCTATCCTTAAGCCTAAGCGCAGAATGAATCCCTGAATTCTATACTTCATGCCCATGGCTCTGAACCCAAACCCTAAGCCCACGCCGTCTCAACAAAAGAGGCTTCATTCAAAGGGGAAAAGGAGGGACCCTTAATAAGGACCCCTAGGTATATACCCTTAATCTGGCGATTATATACCCACTATAAAGCCCATTATAGGGTAGAGGTCCCCATTGAGGGTCCCTCCTTTTCGCCTTTGATTGTCTTCGGAGGGCCTCATCGGGATAGCCGCTTCCGTCCGTTTCGTAGCCCGTGCCAGGACTCCACAGTGACGTCCTCATTGCTCAGGGAGGGTATAGTGTAGGGGCCTTAATAATCAGAATAGGGTTTTGGGGCCCATTATACTATAATTATAAGGAGGAACCCCCAAGCTAGGGTAGGTAATTATTATTTAGGCCCCTATCGTAGGCTTCTCTCTAAGGTCTCAGGGCTTCGGATTTAGAGGGTCCTACAGTATGAGGTCCCTCAGCCAACGGAGTCCGATATGATATGCCTCTATGCTTGTACCATATTCAAGATCGCTCTACAGTTGAGGAGATGTCCCTTATTGAAGGGTATCGGGCTCCCGGCGAACCCTCGACGCTCGCTATGGATCCTATACGTCCTGACCTCTAAGACCCTAGAGCCTACAAGCCCAGGCTGATGGCCCAATGCTTCTGCAACCCTAAACGGGATTTGGGCCGCAGGTAGGCTCTTGAGTCTTGGGTGTGTGTTTGGGGTTTGCAGCCTAGGATTTTGGGGTTTAGAACGTTGTTGAGAAGCAGTGATGTAGGATATTCTGCGATGATGATCTAATCCGACACCCTTACAGCAACCCTTTACGATGCCGTAAACCTAAAGGGAGCCGACAGCAGTCTTCACAACAACTATAGCCATCAAGTCCTTGGATCTTCAGGCGGCAAGGGCGAAACTCTCAGGGCCCAGCTACGCCCTGAGCATTCCTCAACCCCAAACTGTGAACTTTGCACCACGAAGCTAACTTTTTGCATCCAGGCCTATGGCGACTGCCGCAAAGCTAGCTGAATTCCCGAACTGCTTATCCAAAATGCCCTCAAAACCACAACTCCACGCGATCAGGACTTGCCTCGGTGGCGATAGGCCTCTCAGGAACGCACGGGTGTGGGGTTTGGGGGGTTTACGTACGCTCTCTTACAACTCGGACTCGCCAGACGAGGTCTCTTTTTTCTCTCGGTTCGACAGGTACCCAAGGTTTAACCGAGTAGGGCTTGCGCCTTCCAGCAATTTCGGGTTCGGTAGCAATTGTCCCCCTTAGGTCGATTGTTTGGGGTGGAATGCAGATTTTGCAAACGACCCAACAGCCCTGAAGCCCCGAAAGATAGTAAACAACAATCCCACAGCCCTCAAAAGCGCGACACCCCCAACTACCTGAAGACAATCTTTGAGCTTTTGAGGTTTTATTCGAAGTCATGCCCGCGCCGGACATCGGAAGTCTAAACTTCCCAATGAACCCTTGCGAGCCTGGCGTCCGAGACCCCGAACCTCAAGACCCACTGCTTTCCCCACTCTTCCGTCCAGGGGCCGCTGAAGTCGCTGGCGCTGGCACTCGCGCCTGATGCTGCAACTCGGGACACGGGTTGAAATCGCACTTTTTCACCCCACCCCATTTCCTTAGTCTTCCAAAGCCCACTAAACCTTTTCAACACATTGAGCAGCACACCGTCTCGAAAGGATGGCTCAGTGCGCGCTTAGTCTTCAAGGCGTTTGGCCCGCCCCTCCCAAAAAAAACGCGAGGCGGGAGCCTACCGCCGGCATCTCCAGCCGTGTGTCCTGGGAGTCTTTTGTATGGGTTTTGGGTTTGCTTACCTTTGGATAGTAGGGAATGGAGGAATGGGGTACAATTACAACTACTATGACTATTACCACCGTTCTTCCATTCCCTACTAACCGAAGGTAAGTTCAACGCTCAGGGTTTTGGGGATTTGGGGCTTTGCTCTGCCGAAGTTGCCCTTGGCCCTGCGACCTGGTCATGAAATCGGAGGCCCTGAAAGAAGGTTCCTTCATCGATGTGTCATTCGGCCCCTTCCTGCAACCCCCAAAAATACGGTTTAGGAGTTTAAGGCTTTCGGATCCAAAGAGGAGTTGAGTTTGAGGGGTTGGGGCTTAAAGGCTTAAGCTCAATGCTGCACTCAAGACCCTACTATACGCCGGAAACCACGTACGTCCTGAAGCTTAGGAGGCCATCAAACACAGCAACCTTCACTGTAACAGGAACATATACATATATACATGTGTACACACATGCACATGTACACACAGACATGAATATGTAACATGTGGTGCACGCACACACACCCACACACACACACACGCACAGTTCTTCCTGGCTTTGTTTATTCGTTTAGTGAGCTTTGCATGTGCATATACATATATACGTACAGGAAGGTGGAATGGCTTTGGGTCTAGTTCCAGACTGTCCAGACTTATCTAAATACTTCAGCTTTGCGGCTTCGTGCTGTCATGATGTTCTGACTCAGGTTAGAGAAACCTGAGCTTTTGTCGCTCTTAATGCTCGCAGGATGCGTTATTCATTGCGGAATGTGGAAAGTTTGCTCGACGCCGCCCAAACTTGGAGCCGTGGCGCTCACACTCGGACAATCCAGGCGAGGCATGTGGCTCCAAGTCTGAGGAGTGACACCGACAAGCTTGGAAACCCATTCACAGTATCTAAGAACTAAGAACTTCAACGAAGTCCAGTCATCGGTTGGTGCAACCACTACCCAAAGCAGAAACCCCGACCGCCAAAAGACTTGCCTTGGGTCAGTAGGGAATGGGAGAATGGTAGTAATAGTAGTTATAGTTGTACCCCATTCCTCCATTCCCTACTAACCAAAGGTTATGATCACTTCAAAGGAACCCTAAACCCCTATAGATCCCTTTAAAGGAACCCTATATAGATCCGGTTAAAGGAGCCCTATTCCCTACTAGCCAAAGGTATAAGAAGAAATACCTAGCGGGTCCTCCCACAGCCTTGGCACTTGGGGCGGACGTCGGCCTTGCTCACTCGGTGGCAGCTCCTGGAATCGCTTTCGGGCTGTTTGCCTGTAATGTAGGGGCCTCAATAAATGGAATAGGGGTTTGGGGGTTCCTTATTAGAACTAGGGTATGGTATCCCCCAAACCCTATTCTAATTGTTCAGGCCCCTATAGTAACTGTCTCAAAGACCCGCAGGAATATACAGGAAGACTCTTCTAAGGCAGACTGACTAGGAACGAAGCTTTGTTGGGCTAGGCCAAAACATAACACTTTTTGGGGGATAGGCTGGATAGGTCTTCAGCACCCTAGTCGGACTTGCTGCTTTCTTCTAAGCCTATTTATAAAGAAGAACGTACTCGACGAGTCGTGCTGATCCTTCCAAGTACTCACATGAAGACACAAGAAAAAGCGACCTCCACAAGGCCTCCGCCTATTTGCTGAGCTCTCTTGCCCATAGCAAGTACGGGTTAACCATAGAGGGGCTACACATCCATAACAAAGCGACCTCTCAACAAAGCCTAAACTGAGCAGTTGCGCACCCTAGACCCTGAAGTCTTAAAGCGACAAGCTACTGAGAAACGATTTTTTCGGAATCGTGGGAGTAAGATTCATGAGGCTCAGTGGGCCAAGGGCAAAACTCCCAAAATCTCCAAATCCAGAGCCCTACAATTCCAAAAACACGACAAAGACCCTGAACCCTAAAGCTCCAACACCCCAAAGATGCTCTTAGTGAACCCGAATTTGGGTCGCGAACGGTGCGTATGGTACCTCACTTCACTAACGGCTCAAAGCGCACAGTAAGTAGGTCATGCGGCAAAAAAAACGTTTACAAGTTCCCTGAATTAAAACGGTGATTGTGCCAGCCTTACTTTTTAACCTGTTTATATACGGCGTCGCCAGACCCTGCAACTACTGTAGAATCAACTAGAAGCCCGGCTATCTAGAGATGGGGTGACTAGACTACAGTCATGTGGGGCTCACATAATCATAGTGCGCAGGTTGTGTATATATATATATGTATGTATGTTATAACTGCCATTGTTATGCTACTTATCATTAGGACTGCTATTCCTAATCTGGTTTTAAAGCTTGACGATTCGCATTCCGTGCTACGGGCAAGTGGTTTTCCAGGGCTACGTCCGGGCTGGACATGTTTCGGGCCTTGATTGCTTTCCCGTTTCAAACGTTCCTCAGGCTGATGGAAGAACCACCCCAACACACTCCAAGCCCGTAAACAAAAAGAATTACATTACAGATTCTCTGAACCGAAACTGACACCCAAAACCCCAAAGCCTCTTTGACTCAAGCGTACATCTACATTACTACCATTAAATTAGTTTGTATATACTATAATATTACTACCATTAGATTACAGTAGAAGCCAGAAATTTGGAATATCATTATCGTAACCTCTTTAAGGTAAATTATAGGGGATCCTACCATTAATCCATATTCCAACTTTCTGGAGTTCCCTTTAGTTTTGTATTTTGAACTTCGCTCTTACAGATACCAAGACGATCGCGCCTCCACGGGCTCCTGGATGACCACTGGTGCCTGAAAGGGGGAACCCACAGTATCCTGTTCTCAGCCTGTTCTAGATACTGTTCATACTTATCATTATTCTAAGTTGATGCTCATAATTATCATTGCTTTGTAAAATAATGTTCATAAATATCATTACTATTCTATATTAAGGTTCATAATTATCGTTATTATTGCGAATTAATGTTCATAATTATCAGTACTATTCTAAGCTAATGTTCATAGCTTTTCATTACCATTCTAAAGGCCCTTTCATTATGGAGTTGGAGCGTCAGATGTTTCTAGTCCCGTGTGCAGGATGCACAGCTGTAGGAGGCTTCAGAAACTTTGGAGGCGAGAAGAGCAGGACGAGGACCAGAGCCGAAGCTGGACACTATTGAGGTATAGTTAGGTATATCATTGATTATTCCGTACGAGTATCTATAATAAGGAACCACCCCAAAATAGTATAGGTAATTATGGTTACATAAAGGTTTCGAGTTCAGCGTTGCTCTAGCAGCATAGGTACTGGTCGTACTGTACTCTCCGAGGTTCAGAGCAGCTGAGGTCTCCTCTTGAAAGACCCGTGAGCTCCCGAACGCCCTCTTGAACTCGGAACCGTTTCTAACGATAACCTTCAGCCCTCCACCCTAAACCCTCAACATCCCTCCCACAAGCTTAAGTGAGGTGCTGCCTTGGGCCTACTACAGAAGCTTGAGCAAGGAGACGAGAGGTCTTGGCAGCTTCTGCTAGACATTTGTGTTAAGGCTCTAAGGAACCCTGAGACCCTAAGGAACCCTGAGACCCTAAGGAACCCTGAGACCCTAAGGAACCCTGAGACCCTAAGAACTCGCTGAGTCTCATTCCGGTTTCTGAACAGTGCCTCGACTGCGTCCTGGGGTTCTGAGGGCTCCTGGCACGTTCTTTAGGAGCTGACGTTAAAAGCACCAAAGCCAGGAACCACTGTTCTGCATTATAGAACCATATTATGGTACAGTAACTTAGATGTCAAGCTTCTGAACAAAAGCTCAGATAAACGTTAGGATTGGGATCCCTTTAGCACACAGGCCATTTGGAGGGAAATCGACGAAACCTGTGTGTATGTGTGTATGTATACATATACACACACATACATACATACATATATATATACATATGTATACATATATATATATATATATATATATATACGTATGTATGTATGTATGTAAGTGTTATGTATAAAGATGTGAGGTCGTCGCGCCCAGTGATCACCTTCGGGTTGAGGCTTAGACGTCGTTGTACATGCAGCAGGCTACAGCTAATACGATTGTATGCAATGATAGTGTGCGATTTACATGCCCATCATAGAGACAGCTGAGAAGCCAAATGAGGCCCCCCCCTTAACCATGGACACCAGTCCCCCACCCCCTTATACATTTCCAGTGGTGTTCGAACCACGAGTGCTCTAACTTACAATGCGAACGCGCGCGATTGGGGGATCTGAGACCAAGAAGCCAAAAAACAGCAGGGCCCTGAGTAGGCAGGAGCGCAGGGCTTCCTGTCTTCAATTGTGAACGGCAGCTTAGATCGTGAGAATAGCAGGGCCCGAAGGCATTGAATATTTACACGGCTTCCTCTTGTCAAGCGAGGCTCTTGAAACTGCAAGAGGACATGGCTGTTTTGAAACAACCCGGTGGCCACATCAGGAGCCGGTCTTCATGTTCTGCACCTAGTTTGCACCTAGAGTAGCTTACGATAGGATCAGGGCACCCTGAAACCCCAACACCGACACCTTGGAGGAGCACAAGAAGGCGCTCAGACTGCAATGCTGCGTTGACGAAGTCGAGGATGTCTGGCTCGGGAGCAAGGGTCACGACACGGTAGGATTTGCCGCCTCCGTTGCTGCCAGAGGGACAAAGCCCGTCCAACAACTTCGGCCAATAGTTGTCGGGTCCCAAGTCCAAGACCTTGGCAGGCTCCATCTGACTGCTCCATCTGGTGGTTCTATGTTCTCGTAGCTTGAAGGCTAGAATCCTTAACTGTTTCAGGAATCACAGTACAAAGCGCATGTCCAGGCCGATCGAGATTCCCCAGTTCGTAGAGCGGTCGTGTCCAGCATATGCCGCAGAAAAGGGCTGGCCTTGGTTACTTTGCATGGTCAACTCCACGCCAGCGATGCCGCCCCAACCCTGCAACGCTGGAACAATCCATCCGAAGGCAGCATCATAACAATTCGCACCCTGTTCGGAAATACCTATCCTATGGGAAATTACAATTCGCACCCTTGTTTTTCTTGGATTCCAAGAACAAATCCTATGGGAAATGACAATTCGCACCCTGTTCGGAAATACATATCCTATGGGACATTACAATTCGCACCCTTGTTTTTCTTGGATTCCAAGCACAAATCCTATGGGAAATGACAATTCGCACCCTGTTCGGAAATACATATCCTTGGGAAAATACAATTCGCACCCTTGTTTTTCTTGGATTCCAAGCACAAATCCTATGGGAAATTACAATTCGCACCCTGTTCGGAAAGACATATCCTATGGGAAATTACAATTCGCACCCTTGTTTTTCTTGGATTCCAAGCACAAATCCTATGGGAAATGACAATTCGCACCCTGTTCGGAAATACATATCCTATGGGAAATTACAATTTGCACCCTTGTTTTTCTTGGATTCCAAGCACACATCCTATGGGAAATGACAATTCGCACCCTGTTCGGAAATACATATCCTATGGGAAATTACAATTCGCACCCTTGTTTTTCTTGGATTCCAAGCACAAATCCTATGGGAAATTACAATTCGCACCCTGATCGGAAATACATATCCTATGGGAAATTACAATTCGCACCCTTGTTTTTCTTGGATTCCAAGCACAAATCCTATGGGAAATTACAATTTGTTTTTTCCCAGCTGTTTTGTCCCAGTGCAGCCGAGTCACGAGCAGCGCCGCTTCTCTCGTGCGTGCCTCCGTGAACAGTGCTGCCGGACGGTGCCGAGGACCAAACACCCCATGCAGGCGCGTCTGCGTCAGGCCGTGCTGGACCAATTGTGCTACCACCTGGAGCCCAAGAACATGACTGGTTTTTGACTGAATGGCTTCTGGATGGCCTGCTCTCCTTGCTCCGTTTTCTCCGAGAAGGGCTCCGGCAACAGGAGTACAAGGCAGCTTCCACCGCCCATTTGTGCAACGAGGCTTGCAAGCCACTCGGCGGAAGGCAAAAAGGAACACGTGCTGATGTCGAGCACGACCAGGCAAGGCTTCTCCTGTGGGAAAGGAAGTGGGAGAGAAACGTTGACACTCCAGCACTCCAGCACACTACTCCAGCACTCCAGCGCAAGACCACATCGCAATTTTAACGCCACTGAATGGCACTGAATTATACATGCCTGGGTCTTTCAAGCGGTCTATCCTGCACCGCAGCGCAGAACTTCGTCTTCGCTTCGTCCGACCATGTTTGGCGTCCACACACCACTAGCTTTGCCAAGCTTCCGCGCCGCTCTGCTCTCTCTGCTGCATCTCTCTCTATTTTCTTTGACAAGATCTCATCACACCTCACCAACAAGCCTGACATGTCCGAGCACAGCCGCTTGTGATACGCTTGGACGTCAGCTGCCCAAGCATCGCGCAGGGCCTTACGTGGTGACATGAGTACTAGGTGTGTTTGAAGCTCGCGCTGTTTGCTGCTATCCAAGCTTCGCTGAGCAGTTTGTCCGAGGAGTCGTGAGCTGCAGCTTTCACCTCCAGGTGAAGAGAGCGAGCCATCTCGGCAGCTTCGTCGGCTTCTTCTACAAGCTTCGTGCTCTGACGCGACATCTGGAGTTCCTGCAGCCGTTGTCTTGCAAAACACTACGGGGGACATAATTATGACGCATGACCTCACTTTACTGATCTCACGCAGGCTGAGGCTCTCGTACGAAACTCCAGGTGGGCCCTGCTGCCGCGGCCGGCGTTCACGCAATTGAAGATGATGTTGTCCCACAAACCACTCGCAAATCGCGGCGCCAGTTCCTGGCGAGGCTCAACACTGTAACGAAACTGCACGTCGCCGTGCATGCTGCCTGGACCCACAAACCTTCGGCCACTTCCGTCTGCACTATCCTTTGGATATGCTCTAGCCGTACGCTCTTCCGGAACACGAAAACCCAGACACGCTAACTTTCCGGCATTTCTGAGCAACGTTTGCATTGCATAACTGGACCACTTAGTCCTCGAAGCATTGGCCGTGTGCTGCTTGCGCAGCGGTTATGCCTTCAACGTACTTCTTCGCGATCAGCCGCAACCTGAAGTACTGGGCGAGGTGTTATTCATTCTGGGCTGACTGGGGTTTGATGGGTTTGATGCATGCAAGCCTTCATGCAAGCCAGGTCACCGGAGTCGAACATCCTCATTCAGCAGCCTTTTGATGCTGAGGACATCGCTCTTGATTTTGAAGGATAGGTTCTGCTTGTTGGACCTGCAGAAGGCAAACCTGTCTCCCCACTCACAGCCACACCAATCACCCACACCCAGACCTACACCTGACCTACACCTGACCCACACCCTGACCCACACCTACACCCACACCCACCCAGACCCAACCACATCCGCCCACGTTACATGTCCCACTGCACAAAGCTGCGTGCTGTCGAGTCACGTTTCCCTCATGAAACCCAGCCAGCGATCCACCATGCAAAGGAACCACTCCGTGCTGGTCACAGAGTCCTGCCAAGGATAACTTATGAATAATGCTGGACTGACTTGCTAGACTGCTAGTCTACAAGGGGGCCAGTTAAGGCGGCCATGCGAGAGCACGCTTCCTCGGATCGTGCTCGTTGCGTGCCAGGCAATAGATACTTGTGCTGGCGAAACCAGCTCATGGTCACCAGAGGTTCCACAGCATCAACCTCTGTCGCGAACGTCTGCGAGATCTGCTTAGTAGATCTGCTCTTGATCCCGATACCAGACCCCGGTACAGTTGTCTTCCCCGCCTGAATCCGCTTCCATGCTTCCACTGGAACTCTCTCGATGCATTTCTGCAAAGTTGTCCAGTCACAGACAGCAGCCAGGTATTCGGGTGACACCTGGCCAACAATGTCCTTCACTGCCATCGCACTCCCCACAGCCTGGGCGTGCTCACGCAGTGTCAAGATCAGATCGATAAAGTTCAGCGGGAGGACTCCTTCGACAAGTGATTATGGCCAGCTTTGAATGGGCTTTCAGGAGTTGGTTGTCCGAGCTGCTAACAACACACTGAAAGTGGCCTTCCGTCATTGCCGCAGTTCGCGCGAGACCCCGCGCCAGCATCTCCTGAAACAGTGTCCCCGGAAAGGGTCGAAACGGAAACATGGACTTTCCCGACATCCGTCCTTGTAGGGCATCTGGCCAACTCTTTTCAGGGGGACGTGCGCACACATGTGCCGCAGCCAGCCTGGAACCTTCGCAGGGAATGGAGTGAAGAAGAGCTCCGCGAAGCCAGGACGCGCCTCCTCTTTCGTCGTCATCAGGTAGTATGCGAACAAGTGCAGCGTCACGCACCGGTGGTGGCCCTTCACATATCCTGGAACGATGGACAGGCGCAGAGTGCCTGGGAGTCTGCCTCCAATTGCGCACTCCCTGCTGGCCTCGCACGTCGCCAGCATCGCTCAGGTCGCATATTTCGATGACGTCGTGGTCCCGCCAGCATTGTGCTACAGCACAAATGCGGTACTTCTGCTTCATGCCGGGAACTGTCACCTGCCGATGGCCAGCTGCACGAGTCGGATCACTCGGGCAATCGAGCAGCGAACCATTGCTGTCAACGTCAGATTCCTTCTGGCCTTGGCTTGCATTGCAGCGAGGTCTGTGCATGCATGTGCTCGGTTGCTGCTACTGGGTGCTGGGGTTATCTACTGGGATGATCTCACATCAGCTGGTGGGAAAACACATCAAGGACCATT